GTTTATAAACTATGACATTTATAAATGTATGAATCATATGGTGAAAAACTGACTTTGAAAAATAAATCTGTTCTTTTTTTCTAATAAAATACTAAGTYAAACAAATATAGGTGGTATTTTTTGACTAYCTTTACAAACYGCAGCCCACAGATGGCTCCAGTCAGCACCATGTCAGAAACCATTGATGAAGCATGTTGGTGTGGTCAAATGGTTTCATGTACAGTGTGTGTGTGTTAAAAGGCAGTAGAGACGGGTGGCTAAGACTTTATTTATAGACACGAAGAAGCTCAGTTTGTGTGTGTGTGTGTGTGTGTGTGTGTGTAGAGCAGGAAATCTGAACGTACAGTCTGTAAGAGACTGACTGACCAGAAACACAATCTAACTTCTGTTGAAGACAGTCCAGGGTTGATCTCACTTTATGAAAACATTACTTTCTGGAGAGAAACAACTAATAAAGTAAGTAATTTTAGACACTTGAGCCTTTTTGTAAATTCATTCACACAAACAAACTGTAGATTTGCACCACGACAAGTTTCAGGAGCATGTTGCTTCAGAGGTTGTGATAAAATACTTTTCTTTGAGCTGATTGTTAAATTTCTWATGTTCTGTAACACTCTCCACCTGGATCAAAACAATGACATTTACTCAACAATGTTAAAGCTCATGGAAGAAGCCCTTTTTTTGTGACTGACCAAAACTAAATTATGTTTTGCCAAATAATTTCTATGGACCATCCCTGTATCATGTCATATATCAGTGGAAGTGATGGTAAATGTTTTGAACTCAACATTTTGGACCAGTGCACCCAGGCTCCATGTCATGGGGACCCTTGGCCAGACGTCTGCAGACATTGCCAGGCTGTGTTCCAGTAGCAGAGTGGGCTGATCTGTTCCACTGTTTCCAGGGAACCATAAAAGAAATTGGTCATAGCCTCCTGACTACCAGTCGTTCATATTTGTCCTCTGTAGAGGACATTAGTAACCTGAATATCTTTCACCCACTGCATCCTACTGAGTCAACTCTGTACTGTCTACAGAGGACAMTTAGTGCTTTTCAATGATACAAATATGTGAGCCATCATATTGAAATGAGGATTAAGTCAAATTTGGTCAAAATGACCTAATTACATTTTCAGATTCTTGGCTTTAAAAACTACATTTTGATCCCTGGATCATTCTGATATCGTAATTAAATCCATATACTGTATATGACTTAATTTGTCTTGTTGGTTACAATAATACATAAATATTTGGTCTGAATCCTAATTTTATATCCTTTCAATGAGAAAATTTTGATGTCCTTATAAAGAGGAAACCTCAAATTTTATTTGAATATTGAGATTTCCCAGCTAAAATGAAACAAAACTTTGCTAACTCACAGGGAAAATCTTAAAAATTTTAGGTGTTTTCCCTCAAAATCAGTTTTTTTTGCTACTGCTCAAA